AGCACTATTGCATGCAGTGCACTTGGGCTAAGACAACAGCATGTGTTGCTGCTGCACTCAAGTGCATATGAATAACTACATCTAAGAACAGCTTCCTAAATAAACATGCCCCCTTTATGCAACAGGTGGGATTTAACTGCTAACAGCTCCCATATATTTCAGCTACAGAAAGCAAAACTGTTCCTGCAATATCTGGAAAGGCTGCTAGTGCAAAAGTAAATGGGTTTTCAGGCACATTTGGAAAATTGTTACTACTAATTAGACTTTGAGGGGAAAAAGTACTTTTTCAAAAGAAGCACTGTAACAAAAATCTTTAGATTTAAATAAACTGAGTCTAACAGAGGCCAAAATTTTTTGTATCATTTTAAACTGTTCTAAGTTCAACTAATATAAAGAGACCTTATGAGTTTGGGATGGTTTTTCTCTGGCCAGAACTAATATTTGCCCATTTTTCTTGTGTGATTTCAGTTGCAGCTAATTTGCAGAAAATTGTGGAAGAGCCTCAAGCCAACAGATCCGTCACTTTCAAACTGGTATTTATTCCTGTTCCCTAATTGAACAAGCTGTCACTTGCAAAGATAAAACATTGCATATAGATGCTTGTGGTGTCTACTGTGGGCATCTAATGCATGCACTCTAAAACCTCCTTTCCAAAGCTTCCTACTGGTTGTCTAATAGTAGGCAGTGCAGGCTCCCATCTTGTCCTCTGAGCAGGACCTGGCTTAAATAGCTATGTCAGATGATGTGCTAACATGGAGCTTCCCTTGCCCTTGCCTGACCTGTAAGCGTACAAAAATGTTACAGAAGGGTGTTTTCTGGGTCTGGAAGTTACACAGGCTTGGAAATGGCAAAAATATGTCAGGGCAGGTAAGTGGGCAAAAATGTCAGTGACTCCTTGAAGGAGGAGAGTGTCAGAGAAAGAAGAGAAGGCTGATGGGGAATACCAAAGGCAGAGAAGAAAGGCTAGAGGAGGAGAGATAACAGCAGATAGTGAAATGCATAGATAACTATACTGATAAAGCAAGGGTGTAACCTTTTTATAGGCAGTGAAGCCATCAGTTATGTTACTTTTGACCCTTTCCCTGAATAAGCTATTCTTTTCTCCCTGCTTAGTGCATGTATCCCTAGCCAGAGCAGATACTGGCACAACTTCAGTCCCAGCTCTTCTTAGCTCAAAAAATCCCCCAAAACAAAGCTCAGTTCTAACTTTGGGTGATGCTGGCTGCAGTGCAAAACTGTCTTGTAACTGCTGCCTCCATAAACTATGTCTGTTGTACCTCATAGTGATACTAAGCATGGTGTGAGTCATGAGGCAGAGCATGTGTGTTGCTATTTGGATCTCTGTTCCTTGTGTTCCAGGCATCTGGTGTTGAAGGCTCAGATATCCCCGATGATGGCAAACTTATAGGATTTGCACAGCTCAGCATCAGCTAAACAATGGCCCCAGGAGATGATTCCCAACAGAGAACCCACGTGTGCATATTTGTAATGCTTCTGTTAGCCTAAAAAAGAACCACTACTGCCAAAGAATTGAACTACAGCCCCCTTCCTAGAAGCTTTAACATTCTCCTTAATAGGATCACAAACCTTCCTGAGATTACCGATGGCGTTTACACCTTTTGTAAACAAGTCTCATGTTTTTGTATGTCATCTCAAACATGCAGATCCAACATGTCATTGCCTGCATGTTCATGTTATTATTGCCTTACTTTAAAGAAAAATACTACTGAGTACGAAGCGGGGGTTCCACTGCTCTGATGATCTCGCCTAAATGTTTGCTTACATGTGGTTTCATTTTTTTCACTTGCTATTTTTGCACAAGTTTTAATACCGAACAGATCTTTTGTTTTCTTTTTTACCTGCTTCTCCTTCCATCTGAAACACCAGTGTACATGTTGCTTGTGTCACCTGGAGTGCTGAGAAATCTGCTTCTCTTCAGCTGTCTTTTTAAACTGCTGGTTTGAACGCTTGCAAATGAGAAGGCAAGCCAAGTCTTAACCCACAGGAGGGAGAGCCTTCTTCCCTTGTGTTTGTGTTTTTGAGAAGTTCCTCGACTTCAGAGTGTTAGAAGTCAGCTTCCCTTTGTAAACTGCCTTAATTTTTTTTTTGTTTTTTATCATTTGGGTTCTCTCCACATGAGTGCCAGGCGTGGCATGACGGCTGAACCTCTTAATTTACGTTAAGCAGTCCTTCCTCAAAACATGTCTTTCAGTCTACATCTTTAGATGTAGTTTGTTCTTAAAGCAGAGCAACGAGGCACTGCTGTCTGGAAACTGGTCTTGCAGATGATCAACAAACTCACCACTCACAGTCAGAGGGAGAGGAGATCTGTGTCACCGCGTTTGGAAAAGTCGCGTGTGGGACTGTTCTTGAGAGCCAGTCTGCTGTGCCTGGCTGTGCGAGTCCTCCCTGACGTGTTTCCAGTCCCTTGCAAACTGGTACCCGTGGAACCATCCCTGTCGTGACTTACAGCAATAAAGAATTGCCAGCAGAGCGGCATTACTGGGCAAGCGAGCGCCGGGCTGCGTCCCTCCTGCACTGAGCGCTGGGGTCGTCAGCCTTGGCGGCGGTCCGAGCCTCCGTGTCTGATCAGGATGTCACCACAACCCTGTCACACGTACTTAGGTCTTCTTTCTATGTGGAGTTGAATTGGAATTTCTACAGGAATAACATAAATTATACTGGGAGTTTGATAAGAGGCGCTTGTAATGCAGTACGTGAAGAATAAATGGTGTTGATTTCTTCTTTTCTTTCTTACAGTTTCACAGCTGGCTTTTGTAAATGCTGTTGGCTGTGGAGTGTTTTCTACACAGCAATTGTAAGCCTGTAACGTAACACACAGACGGAAACGTGTTTGGTTTCCCTCAGCCAGCAACAATGCAGAAACAGAGTGTTGAAGCAGAATGAGTGGGTTCAATTAGGACATTTTTTATTTCTGAGTCTTCTGATGAACAATCTGTATTTATATATTTTTCTTGATGAGCAGCTGCGGAAGCTTCCTAAGTTGTGCATGTTCTTTTTGTACTGCCCGTGTCCCTTTTAGTCTGTAGGTGGGTAGTGGATATGTTCCCATAGGTGCTGCCAAGTGTCTGCAGCCCTGTTGCTGGTGAATGAGAAGGAGATGCAGAGGAGGAGAAGGGTCTGAGAGTTGAGCAGAGGCTGAGCTGAGCAGAGGCTCTCAACAAGCTGAGGAAGTGGATATCAGATGTTGGGGAGCCGGTGGTGGCTGGGTTTGGCCAAGTCTGCATGCGCATGCATGTGCCAGCTCTTACACTTCTTTGTGTTACTTGACATGGAACACTCCCAAAGGCTTCCCCCAGTGAGCTTCCTGGCTTGGGAAGAGCAGGCTGGCATTCTGATTGTTTGTGTCACCCCATGGGAAATAGGAATGTATTGCAAACTACTAGGATGTGGAGATGAGGCAGTCTTGGTGCAGCACTGCTTTTCCTTTCTGCCTGCATGCTGTGGGGGACTGCTTGTTGGTTTGCATCCTGGTGCTGAGAAAGGTAGGACTTGAACTGCCCAAATGGAACAATGCAGCCTCTATTTATTAAGTTATTCCCCACCTTCCTAAAGCCAGGATGTAGAGCGTGAGCTCACACTAACCTGAGGCTCCTTAGTTCTTTATTGGAGAAAATGGGTAAGGAAGAAACTGATGTCACTTGCTCTGTAGTTCTCCAGACATTTTGGGTAGCAATCCAGAATTTTCACTTGGGCTCTTACAGTGCTAGACAACTGTCTTTTCTGATGTTGTTCCAGTAAGTGCCAATGCTGTTCATAATTGTTCTTCAGTGTCATGAATTTGTTTTGTTTTGGTTTTTTTTTGTGGAAATTTCTGATCCGAACCTGGAAGCAGGTGGTAATTTTAAGTTTGTTCCTACTTTTAAGGACAATGCTCTGTTAATGAAAACGGATCCTCTTCACGACTTTGGTGTATTGTAGATTATAATGAAAGATGTAAAATATTCAGGCTTTTTTTTTTCCCCCTTTTTTTGGACTTTGTATTTTACTGCATGTCTCTAATTTTTAATCAATAAAGAACAAATTGTCCGTTGTCACCTGTGTTGGCTGCGTGGTTTATGTGTCTTGGGGAAGGGGTTTGGGTGGCATTGCACAGCCTTGGACATTACTCTGGGGTAAGGGTCTGGTTCTCCTCCAGCCTCCTGTAAAAGCAGTGCCCAGCCCAGGTTCTCCCGTTATTTTATCCATCATAAATATAAGGAAATATTAGAATATCCCGAGTTGGGCTTCTGGGCGCTTTTGGGCACCTATGGAGACCCTCACAGAGCCTCACCTGAGGACAAATGCTGCTCCTACCTCAGGGAATAAGCTGAACAGAGCTGCTCTCATGTTCACAGTGATCATTTTAATGCATTTTGAGCTGAGGTTTGACGGACTTGCCTAAAGCAACACTTCTGTATGTCAGATTTCTACCAACCATGTGTGCCTTCCCCGTAGCTCTGCATGCAGCCCACACCAGGCTGTGAGGTGGTCAAGAAGGCAGAATCCCACGTGTGCCTTGCTCTTGGTAGCACGGGGAAGGAAGTTGTAGAAGGAAATGGGGCTTCAGCGGAGTGCATCCAACCAGACACCTTTTCTCCAGCTCTGCCATCCATTAGCATTGCTCTGTTTTCTCCCTTAGACTTCTGCCAGCTCTGCAGAGCAGTGTTTCAGCCTCTGAACTTTGAATGGAACTGATGGGAGCAGCTCAGCATGTCGGCAGATGCGGCACCTATGACTGATGTGGACAAGAATCCCAGTATCCTGGCTGTGGCAGAGATGTGATCCAGGTTCCCAAAACAAGGATTCTCCATGCTTTCCTTTGTAACAGATACCCCGTGTTTGTGGGTGGCACAGAGATGATTAATGTATTACATGGTGTACTTAGGACAGGTAAAAACATTGGGTGTCAAGTCTATCTGGAAGAGACGTTACATATTTGTAGTGCCTGCCTACGTCTGCAGAGTTTATCTTGAGATTAAATATTAATTCCAGTCCTCGGGAAAGTCTGTCCCAGCTCTGTCCTCTTCCAGACTCAGCTCACAATGTCGGGCATTGGGGAAAATCTGAAAGCAGCTGGTGAATTTGGGCCGTTTCAGAGACGGCTGGTGCTGTTCTCTTTGTTTCCGTGCCTCAGCCTGGCCTTCCATCAGTTCTGCCAGCTTTTTATGGTTGTGGACGTGCCTCATTACTGCAACACGGACTGGATCCGTGCTGTCGGCCCCAACCTGACAGAGGAAGAGCAGCTGAACCTCACCCTGCCCCGGGATGCGAATGGGGACTACGAGCAGTGCATCATGTACTCGCCTGTGGACTGGGACCTCGACTCCATCGTGGCATATGGCCTGAATGCCACAGAGAAGTGCAGCAATGGCTGGGTGTACCCCACAACACAGCCACCATCCCTGCTCACTGAGGTCTGTATGTCCTTGTGATGCTTTGGGGATGTGGGATGGGATGGGAGCATCCTGTGCTGTAGGTTGGTTGAAGATGAAGCCGGCTGTGGTGCAGCTGGGCTGAGATTTGCACCAGGCATTTTCTGGGGAACGCTGCCTCCATCTCTCAGATTGCAGCTGCGGTCCTTGTGAGGTTGTGTGATCTTAATGGCCATTGGGGCTACTGGAAGAGAATCAAGGAGTCATGGGCTTATAGAATGCTTGGATTGGAAGGGACCATAAAGCCCATCTACTTCCTACCCCTACCGTGTGCTGATTGCCCTCCCACCAGGTCAGGCTGCCCACGGCCCCATCCAGCCTGGCCTTGAGAACCTCCAGCGATGGGGCATCCACAGCTCTCTGGGCAGTGGTGCGACAGAGATAATAGAGACTATATCCTTAGGACTGGGGTCTCTGCTCCCAGGGGCTACAGTGAGAGCCTGTGCAGCCAGCCCATGCCCTCTGGGATCAGAAGTGCTGCTCAGTTGCAAAAGCAGCTCTGTTCCCTTCCCGCAGTTTGATCTCGTGTGTGACAGGAAGAACCTGAATGACATCTCACAGTCCGTCTATATGCTGGGAATGTTCCTGGGAGCCATGATCTTTGGACTCTTCAGTGACAGGTGAGGAGACACAAGCAATTGCCCAATCTCTATGCCAAAACAGCAATGTGTAGGGTAGCACAATGCTCCAGTTCTGGCTAGCCACAATACCCTGTGTATTTTGTCACCAGCTATCACAAAATTATAGTGACCCTGACCAAAGTCCTCAGATCTTGCAAAGTCATGGCCAACAGGATGGTCCAAAGAAGGGCACGATGTGTGGGAACTGGGACAACACTGAACTTCACTGCCCTCAAGAGAGGACATGTGTGAATGGTTCCCAAATTGCTGGGTATCCCTTTGGGCTCTCTGTGGTGCCTCTCTGGATTCTTAGAATAATCTTAGTTGGAGGGACCTTTAAAAGCCATCTAGTTTAACTTCCCTGCAATGAACAGGGACGCCTACAACTAGAAGAGGTGCTCAGAGCCCCATCCAGCCTGACCCTGAATGTCTGCAGGGACGGAGCATCCTCAGCCTCTCTGGCCAATCTGTGCCAGTGCTTCCCCACCCTCACTGAAAAACACTTTTTTGTTATTACTGTTTCCCCTTATGCTATCACAGCACATCCTGCTAAAGAATCTGTCCCATCCTTTCTTACAGCCCTCCTTTAGATATTGAAGGGCTGCTCTCAGGTCTCCCCAGAGCCTTCTTTACTCCAGGAGGAAATATCAGCTGTCATCTTCTTCCTCCACAGGTTTGGCCGTCGGCCAGCCCTCTTGATCTCCATCCTCCTCGAGGGTTTGTTTGGTGTAGCAATTGCCATTGTGCCTCATTTCTATGTATACTTGGCCTTCAGATGTGTCGTGGGGGCTTCAGTGTCAGGGATCATGATGACCTTGCTGGCCCTAGGTGAGTAGGATGCCCTTCCCTAGAGCAGATAGATGTGGCCTCCCACGATGCAGTGGAAAAGGTCTGCAAGGAAAAAAAACCTCATCCTGCACATCTTGAAAAACTCCCTCCCAAACGAATGCCTTATGTTTTAACACGTCCCCGTGCAATAGCTCAGACTGGCTTTTTTTGCCCTGTTTTTCCTCAAGGCTGAGAGGACAGCATGGGTATAAGGGGAGGTAATGTAGCTCATGAAACTCTGCTGACTTGTGTACATCTGATGTCTACACTCAGCTTCTGAAGGGACCTTCTTCGGGGGAAACAAATTGCTTGGATAAGGGGAGATCAGTCACATTGATAGCTTTGAATCTTTGTTCTTTCCAGTTACAGAATGGGTTGGTGTCTCCTATCGACCACAGGCAGTTCTTCTTTCTCACTGCTGTTTTGCTATTGGACAAATGATTTTGGCTGGCTTGAGTTACGGTATCCCAAACTGGAGGTTGCTGCAAACTGTAGGATCTGCTCCTATATTTATCCTTTTCCTCTTCATCTGGTAAGTGGCAGGTGGGCAGTGAACTCCTTGCAAATATGACAGATGCTGGAGGGCCTTCTGCAGAGCTCAGCACATCTCCCTGAGCCACGCACCACTGAGAGCAGCAGCTGCTTTCATTTGGGTCCTCAGATGTGGCCTCAGTGCCCTAAATATAGGGCTGGGAAGCCTGAGCTGAAGCCATGTTTATACTCCTCCATCACACATCATGCATGTTGCTGGACCTGGTGGCAGGGAGATGGACTATGAGGAAGCTGAGCAGGTCACAGTGCTGTTTTCTGCTCTCACCTCCTTGGCAGGGTGCTACCAGAGTCAGCTCGCTGGCTGGTGACAAAAGGCAAAATAGAAGAAGCTAAGAAGTACCTTAAGAAGGCAGCATCCATCAACAAACGCACCATTCCTCCAGAACTGCTGGACCAGGTACAGCAGTGGCATGCCTTGCAGACCCACAGACCTGCCTCTGTGCTTGCAGCCCTGGGGCAGCAGGATTAAGCCAGTAAATAAAGACCTGGCAAGATGCTGGTGTTTCCAGTTCAGAAAAGAGTTGTGGAAGATTTGGGGTCATCGGGGAAAGAGCTTTCCATGCATTGAGGGACTGCTTAAAGATGGGTGATGCATAACTCTAGCTTAAATTGACATGAGACGTGGTCAGGGAGGAGGGGCCTCTTCTGCTGAGGCTCAGCCTGCAGCATTGCCAGAGTTCACCGTGGGAAGAAGAAAGGAGGAACCCAAATGCTCCCCTTACTTTTCTGCAGTAAAAACTTCACCAGTGTCGAGGGTGAGCATGAATCCTTGCTCTGTGGTTTTCCATGCCTAAATATCCTAAGAGGGGGTTACCCACCTTTCCGATTCACGCACTGTACACTGGCAAAATGTTCATCCCAAGGAACCCCTCTGATTCCAAACTCTGGCTCAGGACACCCAGTCCCCAGGCACAAGAGCCCAGCCCCACTGGGCTGCCGTCCTTCCCAATACAGCTGTGGTCACCTCCATGTCCTGCTGGGGTTGTCTTTTGTCTTGTGCTGGAGAAAGAGCTAGCCATAGGTTTCCTCTGTCTGCTCTGACTCTGGCTTTCTGATGTTGAAGCTGAAGGGTGAGACCCAGACCAAGTCTGGAAGTATTCTGGATCTCCTTCGGAAGAAGCACCTCCTGAAGGTGACTTTAGTCATGTCGTGTGCCTGGTAAGTCACCACCTGGTTCTTTCTTTCCTAATTTCCATGTGAGAGAAGAAGGCCTTGAGGATTACTCAAAAATTCTCCTCATGTGGCTTTGGGATGAAATTGATGGTTATTTCTATTTTAGCCTATTGAAGATGCAATGTAGAATGTACAAGGCATTTAACAGTCCCTGCTTCGGCAGTCCTGTGGTACTGGTCTGGTTTCATGTCCCTTGAAAATCCCAGGGCATGGTAAAAATGCTGTCAGAGAAGATCAATATTATATTTACTCACCAGCTGTTCTCTACACTTAGTGCTACTCTGCTCGGTTTTCAGGTTTGTTAACAGCCTGGTATACTACGGTTTGAGTATGAATGTAACTAATTTTGGCCTGGACATCTACCTGACACAGCTTGCATTTGGAGCAGTGGAAATCCCAGCCCGTGCTGGTTGTATCTTCATACTACAGTGGTTTGGGAGGAAGAAATCCCAGGGTGGTCTCCTTCTGCTAAGTGGCCTCGTGTGTCTGATACTCACTGTCATCCCTGAAGGTGAACAAGCTTTTCTTGTCTCAAGAGCATAGATTCTGATGCAGGAAGCCACCAAGTCCTGACCCTTCCCTTTCTAGTGCATGTCGCATTGTCCCAACCAGGCTGGATGCAGTTCCACATACCTGTCAGGGTTGATCTGAACCTGATACCACAGCTACAAAGGATTTGGCCATGCACCCAAGGCCCACTCTGATCAGAAAAGATTTGCCTGCTGACAGTGATAGGAGAAAGTAGAGCTGAACTTAATGGGCTCAACTGGCAGTGCTGTCCTTTCCGCAGGTTGGTGGTGAGGTGAGATGGATGCAGGGTGCTGAGGATGGCCCCTAGACTAGAGCTGCTCCACGGTCCACATTCTGACACAGTGGTGATGACTTCCTTTAGGCAAAATGGTTGTCACCATGAGACCCAGGCTGTCATCCCTAAGGTGTGATAGCCACCAATACTGAAGTAGCAATCTCCCCTTCTCCTCTCTCCTCAGATCAGCCTGTGGTGATCACCGTCCTGGCCACCATTGGCAAGTTTACAGCCTCGGCCTCATTTTCATCGTCCTACATCTATACTGCAGAACTCTTCCCCACCATCATCAGGTGAGGTTTCACCATGTTTCATGGCTTCCCTCCAGCAGGGCCAGCCCTCATTGCAGGAGTACCAGTTGTGGCAATCTGCCATGGGTAGTGGTGGTGGTGGTGGTGGTGGGACAAGAAGCCAGTTGGGCCTACAGCCACGGTTGGTCTCTGTGCTGGGGCAAGAAGGGGGTGCCAAAGACGTCCCCATATTCTGTACCTTCACTGAGGGTACAATGCAGACATGGCTGAGGAGGAATGCACAGGATTGTGTACAGAGAGAGCCAAGTCCAGCCTGTACCTCTCACCGTCCCTCACTCCTACAGGCAGAGCGGCGTGAGTCTGTGCTCAATGGTGGCACGGGTGGCAGGGATCATCGCCCCGCTGATCCTCATCCTGGAGCAGTACCACAGTGCCATCCCCATGGCCATCTACGGTGGCACCACCGTGCTGGGGGGGCTGCTCTGCTTCCTGCTGCCTGAGACCCGTGGTGTCGAACTGGCAGATGGCACAGAGGGAGGCCAGCCCACAGCAGTGGTGAGTGATTGGCAGCCCCCATGCTGCCTCCTCTTAGTCAGAAGGTGAAAGCGGGACCACGGAACGGCCCTTTGGTGCTGTGTGGGCAGGGGGCAATGGCTTCTTTGACGGCTTTCAGCGATTAGAAAACAGGGAACTGGGGTTCTCCACTATAGTGGATGAGTAGGATGCTGGTGGTGATCTGCCCATAATGCAACCCAGAAGGGTATTTCAGACCCATGGTGGTCATCTCTTAATTCTTGTCTTTGTGAAGTGAAAGGGCTCCAGGAGTGGTGGGTGCTTCCCTTGGCGCTCCCTGCTCTCCCCAGGGAAAAGCCAATGCCTTGCTGCCTTGCTCTCCAGCTTTCATCATGGTTTAGCTCCCAGGTCCTCATTCCCTATAGGACAGTGTGGAATTGCAGCCCAGTACTTTTGTTAGGGGAAAGGGTTCCACCACTGGTCACAGAGTGGATGATGTATGGGAAGCCAGGCTGCTCAAGGCTGAGTGCCATTTGCCTAATTGGAGAAGACTGTCATCAAATCACACTGTGCCATGCTGTTAAGTTTTTTCTGTTCCATTAGGTCCATGGAAATGCCAGCAGCAGCCCTGACAAAGGACACGTGAACGTAAAAGATGCTGGCCAAGTCAGTGAGAACACAAAGAACACTTACTTCTAGCTGGGCCTACAAGCAGCTGTAATTGAAGGCCACCTGGTGCTCTGACACTGCTGAGGACAGGCAAAGACTCCATTCATGGCACCTCTCCCACTCAGGCAGTGACTGCCAGTTCTTGTCATTCTTTGTCTTTTTTGCCTTCCTGCACTCCCCTCTATAGCTTCTCTTTGGGCACTGCATGCTGTCTCACATTAACAGTGCTCTCGCTGGAGAATGTGCTTTTAGTTTAAGGCCAAAAGAAAGAAATCGGAAGCCAGAATAGATGTGATATTTTCCCTCTCCCTTTCCTGTCCCATCTCCAAGAACATGAGACTGTGAAGTGAGACACCTGCCAGAGCACTGAAGAGACCAGCAAAGAAGTACTGTATTCAGTGAGGGGAAAGGCAGCGCAGATGCAGCACTGAAAACCATCTCACCTTGCTAGAGGGATTTCTCTGGACTGTCTAGCATGGTTTTCTCACCCTTTTTAAAAATGCTCCTTAAGGTTTTATCCTTTTTTAAGATTTGAGATAATCAGCTGAGGAAAAAAAGAGGATATGATAGAAGAAACAGGAAACAGTGAGCAAGGACGCCTCCCCTTTTCTCTTGCTATGCCCATATATATTTGAAGGATGAAGCCCAGAAAGTTCTACAGTGGTGGTGCAGCAGCTTTCACTGCACACTGCTGAAAGGTTTCTTTCTTTCTGGTGATGCTGAGAAATTTTCAGATGAGGCATTATTTCTTCCTCATTGTACCTACATGCTTTCCTTGGAACAAAGTATCCCACAGATGTGTGGTTTGCTGAAGACAACATTCTAATAAAATCAGTGACATGCAGCAGTGTCCCACCAGGAGAGATTGGCTCTGGTGTTACCTCTCTGCAGCACTGCTGGTCAGGGGATTTGATAAGTTGTGGCTGAGATGCTCTTGTTCAGTGGGTCTGAAGATGGAGGTGATCCGTCCTTTGATTGAGAACTCTTTCCTTTGCAAAGGCTGGTGGCTGCCTCTGTCAGTGTATAACCAGTGAATATTAAGACGTTGTAATTATGAAATAAACGAGAGTGTTTGGCAAAGCAGATTATGATAACAAAAAGAGGATAGAAAGCTTACCCCTATCCTAGGCTCACTTACAAAACTCCAGCAGAGCAGATCTCCAGAAGAGATCCTTCCCCACTGGTAGCCAGCACTTAAATGCTCTAGGAGTGGTGCAGCCAGGCTCCAGCGCTTCCGGCAGCACAGGTGAATTGCCTTCAGCTGTGCTCCTCTGGCTGGCTCATGGCTCGCCTCAGGTGATCCATCAGAGGTTCAGGCCGTGACTCAGCAGTTCCCATACACTCCACCCCTTCACAGCATGAACCAATGGTCAGGTTAACTAAAGGGTAAGCTTTCCCTAATACAGAGATCCCCATGTATCGTGATGCTTATTCAATTTCCATCGCGACACGTGTTGGTACAATTCAAGACAAGTGGTGATCAGTGAATGTCCATATTTGTTTTATGGGCCAGTGCTCGATGATACTACTGGAGACATGCAGTTGTGAGGTGCAGGTCTGTTCTATGTTCCATCAGTCCCACGCAGACCATCACCAGGTGTTACACCTGATCTGACAGCAACACTGGAACACTTTGATGGCATTTCATTCCTTCCGGTGATCCTGAAGGCTCACAGACTCACGGGGAGTAATACAGATATTTCAGAGGTACCAGGAGGGGAAGGTCTGCTCTCCAGGGCAAGATACAGGCTGTATTTCTATCCTGGGTCAACACTTCTGCCTGTACTGGGGCACGTCCTGGCCGCCTGTACCACACCTTCTGGCCGGATGTCTGCAGTGCATAATGAGATCAGGCGCCAAAGGAGGTGTCCTGATCTGTCACAGGGACACGATGGGGGTCCCTTTAGCAATGAAGATTGGAGTGTTGACCACAATATCAGTAGGCCATGTACCTATTACTGGAGGGACTACTGAGCCTCCCACCTCCAATAGTCTCCCCCAAGGTGCAAGTAGGCCACACCACTTGGGTCCTACCTGCACCTTCCAGGGCCATTTTATTTTATGGATACCCAGCTCTAAATTCTCAGGGGCAGGGAGCAGAAGATTATTTTCGTTACCAATCTGGGGTCTTACCTGATGATCAGTGCTCGTAATTTGGATCCTAAGCGGGGTGGCCCATGTCGTCTGCAACATTCTCAGGGCACTGGGTCTGCTGTCTTGGGATCTTTCATTCAGGTTCCGCAAGGTTTCATACAGTCCTTTTGTTCACCCCTGCAGGGACTGGGAGTCTGTCTTCATAGCAGCCTTAAGAATACCGTTATAACGTTTGATGAGGCCTGCCTCTGTTGGATTATATGGCAGGTGGAATTGCCATTCGATGTTATTTTCTTCTGCCCAGCACTGTATAGGTGCATCAGTAAAATGAGTCCCTTGGTTGTTCTCGATGACTTCAGGTGTCCCGTAGGCAGACATCAGTTTAGTGAGTGCCTTGATGGTATATGCCTGGTTAGCTCTCGGTACTGGATAGGCCTGCACAGCCCACTTGCAGTGTCAGCGCAGGTCAGGGTGCATCTTGCCCCCTTGCAGAGGAAGGAGCCCAATGTAATCGACCTGCCATTGCTGGAGAGGACTGTGTCCCCTAGCAAGATGGGCTGTTGTTTCGGGCAATGATCTTGGTCTCATTGCAATCCTGGCATGCCTGGACAATATCAGGTAGTTGTATAGACAGTCCCCACGCTTTAGCAACTGCCCACATTGTCTTTTGTCCAGCATGATGTAACCAGCGGGCGATGTTCTCAGATGGTGAATTCTCAATCCATCAAACTCGGGCCAGCGCGTCAGCTTCATCATTTCCCAGTGATGGTAGGGGCTGATGACCAGAAACATGGTAGACACATACAGTCCTGTGTTTGACTGTATTCCGTATGTCTAACCACATGTCTTTGCCCCAGATCGGTTGGGCATGGACAGTCCATACCTGGGTGGCCCACTGTGCAATCCAAAGAGTGAGCCCCTGGTACACAGCCCAGCTATCTGTGCAGATGTTCGGGATACCATCAGCGGGTTCCTTGGTTATAACCATCCACACAGCTCGCAGTTCTGCCCATTGGCTGCTCTGACCATCCCCCTCGTCAAACCAGATTGTCTCGGTGGAAGGATGGTATGCTATTGCTCTCCACTTGCTTGGGTTGCCCTTGCTGGACCCATCTGTGTACCAGGCATCTTCAGGGATAGGATATTTTCCCTCCTGAGTGGGACTCTTTTCTGGTGGAGCGACCAGTATTTCTTTTGGTGCATCACTGTGATACGTAACTGGGCCTAGGATTCTCTGGATTTCTTCTTTCAAGGGTGATGAAGACAGACTGCTCCTTTGGCTGAGATAGGCGACCTACCATGCCACTGTTTGTGCTTGGGCAACCCCTGTCTTAGGAAGGTGGGTCAGATCTTTCACCCACCCCTGAATCGGCAGAGTGGTCTTGACTATAACTGCAGCTGTTCGAGTTATTGGCTCTACTGCCTGTAATGCCAAATAGGCAGCCAATAACTGTTTCTCAGTCATACTGTATCTTTCTTCTGCTCCGTGCCAAACCTGAGACCAGAAACCAATGGGGGGTCCGAACAGAACTCTGGCATTGCTACAGGCCCCAACCGAAGCCATCTTGAGTAATGTGAACGTCCAACTCAGCTGGGAGAGTAGGATCGAATATACCCAATGCCTGGGCTTGTTTAACTGCAAGTTTTGCTTACTGGAAAGCATCTTGTCCTGTTTTCCCTCAGTCCCATAGCTGCCCCTTTTTTGTGAGTCTATACAGTGGCCTTAGCAGCTGTGCTAGGTGAGGTATAAAGGAATGCCAGTAACCCAATATACCTAGAAACTCTTGCAGCTGCTTCAATGTTGTAGGGTCTGGGAACACCTGAACCTTATCTGTGACAGCACTGGGTAGTACTTTGGTCTTTCCTGACCAAACCACCTCCAGGAATTTTACGGACAGGCCCAGACCTTGCACCTTTTGGGGATTTATAGCCCATCCCCTCTGTTGTAAATAGGTGGGGAATGAATCTGCAGCCTGTCCTACTGCCTCCAGTGATTCAGATGCCAGCAGCAGATCATCAGTATAATGATATAGGTTAATATCATCAGGTTTTCTCCAGTCAGCCAGGTCACGCACCACTAGATTGTGACAATACGTTGGTGAATGCACGTATCCCTGTGGCAGGACCTCTAAGGTCCACTGCCTGCCTCCCCACGTAAACGCAAACTGATCTTGCGATTCCTCAGCAATTGGGATACTGAAGAATGCATTTGCTAGACCTAGGATGCAATGATAGGTTATTGCATCCAATTTTTATCTCCCTACTCAATGTGTCCATTA